CGTCTCGCCACCGCCGAAGTCTGCTGCAGCCGGCATCGATGGCAATTTTGCGAGACGGTTCGCGGGATACCTCCTCAATCGAGAGCCGGTGCTGTGTCTTGGCGTGGGGAATAGGACGATCGCGCCTGCCGAAGGCTGCAAGTCGGCGGCATCGCGGCAAGCCGCCGGCGTCGATGGCAAGTCGCCGGCATTGATGGTAAGCTGCCGGCATCGAGGCCGGACTTCTCTGGTTCAATGACGAGAGGGAGTAGAGAGGAAGACAAAGTTCTCGGGTGTGCAGGGGAAGGGGATTCATACTTTTTTTTAATTGATTTTTTTTCTCTTTGACATAAATAATAAAATAATTAAAATTAAAATTAGGGTAAAGAAGGGGTAATTGGGTCATTTCCCAGCCTATTTAACGGCCACTTAACGGAAAATTAAATGGAAGGGTAAACTTGTTACGATTTAACACTAGAGGGGTACGTTTGTGCAAAAAATTAGTAGAGGGGTACGTTTGTTAATTTGTCAAAGTAGAGGGGTATAAAATGCTATTAACCCTACAATTTACAATTGAGTTTGGATGGAGGTTTTGAGTAAATGTGGCATTTGGTCAAGCCACAATATGAGAATGATCTCACGTTCAGATCCTACTTTTTAAATTCGTATAGTAACGTCGTTGAAGGGGAAAAAAAAAAAAGGGAAAAAGATGGAGCTAATTTGTATTCATGGGGGAACATCATCTGTATTCGTTAGAGTAGGTAATTTTGTTTTTCTTTTCAAATAGAGTACCAGAAAATCAGATTTTTAAGGGCAACAAGTAAGAAGGTCGTTTGGGTTGAATACTGTTTATGCTAAGTACTGGGCGCCCTCTGCTCACTCGCTCCGCTCCTATCGCACGCCTCCGCCCTGCACAAAAAGGCGCACTCAAGCCCCCTTTAGGGCTCGTTAGCACTCCAATACTCAAGTTAGACCTACCGGTTTTAGAGATAGAAATGAATAGTGATTTTAGAGAGAAGATCCAACATGAGTAAATGAGCTCCACCAACTTCACTATTTATTCCTAGGGTAGGGTCGACCACTGCCCCCAAATCCGTCCAACGTCATCACACCATTAAATGCACTGTACTTCCCCCCTTGCCAGGCGCCCCGACACTCTGACACATTGCCCCGGGACTTGAGGCGCATGGCCCCACTTCCTGTCCCCTCCGTACGCTTCTGACCATTGCCCCCCCCCTTTGTCGCCCTGCGCCCTTCGTCAGGCCTGGCCCCACCGCACAGGTTTCAGCCCCAACATCAGTACATCACCCTCTTCGATTAGTCTTGTGTCGATTCAGTGCTCCGCAATTTGGGTGTTGGACTCTTACTTCTAACTCACCTGTAAATAGAAGTGGCAATTCTCAATCCAATCCACCAACCATTAAAAGTATCCACCTAAACCAATCCATTTTATCCAAATCCAATTGGATTGGTGGATTCATGGATTGATCCATGGATCCAAATGACAAATTACGATTTGGTACCTATACTTTTTATATATTTTGGTATCCAAAATTTAATTTTTATACACAAAATATCATTGAAAATTTACGTTTTGGTACCTAAAATTTTTCATTATGACATTTTAGTACCTAAACTCTTCATATTTTACATATTGGTCCTTGATTGAGGATGTCATTTGGATTCATGGATAATCCACCAATCCACTTGATCCAATCCATGAATCCACCAATCCATTTGATCCATGAATCCACCAATCCATTTGATCCATGGATCCACCAATCCATGGATCAATCCATTTGCCACCTCTACCTGTAAATCTGCATCAAGAGGGACCTATGTAATATATTTGGATGATCCATTCTTCTTGCTAAGGTGTTTGTGAACCAGTTAAGACAATCGTGAAGAGCAATTCTAAATGCTCATCGCGAGCTTAGCACATTGTCTACATCTTTTAATAAGTTCGATAGACCTTATGTCTTATGTGTGCATGCATCTTTATTAACAAAAACTTCGACTATCTCATTTGTCCATAAGATATTTCTCTATAGATTACATCATAAATAGCAAGGTTGTCAACCCGCGGGTCGACCCGCGGGTTGACCCTGACCCGGTGAGAAAAACGGGCCGCACGCACCCGCCGGGTCGACCGCTACAAGGTATCGGGTTGGAGGTCAAATTGTGTCATTTTTTTCTTTGTTTTGCGAAATGCGCCTATTTTCCGATTTTTCTTTTCGCCTAACTCAATCTTTGGAATCCTAAGTTGAACATTTGAATATTAATGTTATATAGGTGTGTGTGAATTTTCACTATATGTTGAATTTAAGTACGAAATGTTATTTTGGTGTAATATTATATGTTATAACTCATGTTAGATGAGATTTGATATAATTTATCAGAATAAGTACAATATAATGACGCTTTCCATATTTCCGGGCTAAATCGGACTAAAACGGGTGACCCATTAACCCTTGACCCACTAGCTCAACCGGGTCCGGGTCAACCCGCGGGTTGACAACCTTGATAAATAGTGTATCACTTGTGGATAGTAGCAGCAAAACTTCAACATGCATGTGAGCCACTTCTTCATCGTGTATTCATACTTAGATGGGTTTAAGACCCTTTCCAAAACTAAACAAAGAAATCCCCCATAATTATATTTATCTTGTAATGACTAGGGATGGCAATTTCGACCTGACCCGTTTTACCCGACCTGTTTGACCTGTTTTGGGGCGGGTCCGACCCGCCCCGTAGGCGGGGCGGGGCGGGCATGGGTAGTCTCATCGACCCGACCTGCCCTGACCCGCCCCATTCTCGACCCGTTTGTGTCTAAATTACATGAAATCTTAGTCAAATTACTTTGAATTTTACTTTTATCGCATCATATTTTAGCTATAATAAAGTTGTAAATTAGTGAAAACCTCAATTTCTCCAATAATTTAACTACAATTGTCATAATATTGTTTATTTTCTTAGTTTTATAATAAAAATAACGAAACTTTCTAATGTTTTTCAAATAAATTGCATACCCATTGGGTCGACCTGCCCCGACCCGCGACCCGTGATCAATTACCCGACCTGGACCCGCCCTGCAACGGGGCGGGTCTGGGTACCAAGAAACCCGCCCCGAACCTGCCCATTGCCATTCCTAGTAATGACACTAGAATTAATCATTACAATTTTTTAGTTTAGCCAAAATCTCTTCTTTTTCCTGTCCACATCGCCACCGATAAATTTGATTAACATAATAAAAGATTCCGCCTTGAATTTGAAGTACATAACAAAGAGTCCCAATCGTGTCGGAGGAGAAAAAAATTGAAGCAGCGGACATGACATGGGATTAATTAGTCCGTGGTCCTCTCCAGGTTTGTGTCTTCTCTGCATAATCTCGAATCTAGAGATAATCCATGCATTAATTAATACGGATCCTGATTGCTATTTTATTTAATGAAGATAAGTGAGAGACGTGAGACATTTAGACTGGAAGAGGAAAAAGGACCATTAATTAATTAATTAAATTAAGAGCCACAAATGACAAAACCATAAAATTTTCGAAACTTCCAAAATGCAAAAGCATGGCCGTGTCGTCTTACGTGGATGATCAGATCAGATTCAGATGAACCCTCCCTCGTGTTCCACTCCATTTTAGTTACTAATATACAAATCCTAGCGACAAAAGAGATATATTAATCTGTTGCCTCTCTGAAAAGGACTAACTTTTAGTTTTCTTACTATTTCTCGTCAAGTTTAGACTAACTCCAATTCTAGCATGCAAATTTTAGCATTTTGAAAACTAAAAAGTTCATCTCCAAAACTATTTTCCGCTCCAACACTTCAGTTTTCTTTTTTTCCTATCACAAATGAAGTGTGAATCGACCAACAGGGTACCCGAAGATGATAAAACTTTGCAATTGATATGGTGTTGTGGACCATATACTGGACGACGTGCTCGAGGGTTCCCCCAGCTACCTACTCGCCTACTCTTATAATTAGTATATAGAGGATTCCAATCTTATCCTACTCTACCGCCAAGCAATCATTTTATGGTGATTCACTGTGATGACTGTTGACTCATTTTTAAACCACCATGGATATGTGTGTGAAGGCGAGCTGATACTTTCCTTTGTTCTTCTATCCTATTGAAGCATAAAACGAATACATTTTTTGAATGACTTAAATTAGCACAAGAATATGATTCTCAATATGCAGTCCCGTCAAAATTTCAGGTGTTATTCCAAGCTTTATCTCAAGACCCTTTGATCTGGCCTTGGAGGGTTGCCGTCTGAACTCTGAATAGGATCAATTAATAAAAGGTCGAGGCTGTTGGTAGGAAGTTTGACACCTAAACTTATCGGAACGCTCGTTAGCAAGTTCTTCTCTATCAGATAACTGAATCAGTATTCTAGATCTAACTTCATATTACCTTTGACGGTGTAACCGGCTCTTCTTCATTTTTCGACAGCGAAAATAAAAGTGAAACTTACTGGTATGGAAACAACGTGAGTTTTGCTTCTGTTAGGAACCCGTTACCAGCCGCAATCACACTAGTGGCACTATCCATCTCAACTGTCATTTTGCTTCTGGTATGTAGTCAACACAGATTTTTTTCCCCGACTGGTTTGTGCTGCTGTTCAACGTAACGTAGAAGAATTGAAGATTAAGCAAACGGGAACAAATAACCAAAGAGAGCATCCCAAGGCAAAGCACATCACGGCAGCTCAATTGGATGTATTAGGAAGATGCTGCAAAATTGGTCCCTTCGACACTACTACCTATCCGCCGCATGCAAAACGAAAGTGACCCTTTGCAGGCGTGCATAATAGTCTCCTCTCCTGCTGATCCCATCGAAATCGATCTGTCATTCTCATCAACTTCTACGATGCCGATAAGCACTGCTCGTGATGATGGTGGCACGACAGACAGATAAGACGCATCGTCAGCATGTAATCTTCATGTTCGTCAGTTGGTAAGTTAAGTCGAACATCAAGTTTAACGATCAACAGCAAACAAACCCAGACCACTTTCGTCGCAAAATTTCAAAAATATAATTCTAAAGTGTCAAATGCAAGCCAAATGGAAGTATGGCCCCAAAGACTTATAACGACGCACTGTAAGCCCAACGGCAGCTCAGGCAACTCTGTTTCTCACAAGGGGGGATAAAAGAACGGGAGGGAGCAGTTTGATGAACGACTAACTACAAACTTCATCACAACATCAAGCAAAAATTAGAACCCAACAGCTACCAAATGAACAATGGTGTTCGACGGCAGCCTTTCCATCCACGGATATCGTAACTCCCAGGGAACTCGCCTTAAACAAAGAGAGATAAATAATGGAACAAGTGAAGTCGCACTACGTTAAAACTTACCATGACCAAATGTATTTATAGTCTCATTTCCTGGTTTTATCCAGAACCTCAATGTATCTCTTTGGAATGGCATAGTGCTCAACCAGAAGCCGCGCCACGTCATCAATTTTACCACCTTGGATTAGAACTTCAAGCCCTTTCTTCCCTGAAACCCCAACAGGAGAAGATTACTCACACTGATTTAGCGTACCGAACATGAAAGAGACGTGTCCAAGTAAAATGAAAAATACCTGGGAGCTCCCCAACTGATGTACTGCAAGCAAACTTCTTCTGTAGTTCGGATGCTAGAGTATCCGCATCGATCAAGAATGATTCCACACCCGAGAGCTTTGTCACCTTCTTGTTACCTGACCGCCGCTCTGTCACTATCTGTACGGTTTTCAGGGCGCCTTTGCGAACCACGGACTCGCCCCCTCTAATCACCATATGGTGCGGCTGCATCCTGCCAACAAACGTCGATCCCAGATCTTTCTTGTGAATCACAGTGGGATATGTCGATCCTTTCTTGATGGCACCCTTGAACAGAGCATCGCATAATGCTGGATCCAAGACCACGGTTGATTTGTCTGTTGGCTTCACCAGATTTTCTTTCTCGACGTACTGGAAGACGACATCAGAGGCTTCTGAAGCGCTGTAGAGCTTCCCTGTATCAGCTCCAACAGCAGAGAAAATCGGGTTCACATGAGAACTCGATTTATATATCTCCACCACTTCAAGCGTCTTCTGTGACTGGCCGCCTCCACTGCTTGCTGGTTCCCCAGGGTGTTGTTCGGTTTTCTGTTCCTGCTTCTTTTCCGGCCTGAAGGATGTGTACTCAGGGTGATTTCGGTTGACAGAAACTAAAACTGTTTCCTTCTTGTGTTTATCTTCCTTCACTGTAATCTGTTAATGAGAGAAAACACTATTTTGATGAGCCATTCCCGCTAATAGAACATCATGTAGCTGTTAGCAAGATATCATGCTACACATCGATGACTTTATTCAACAAAGATAGACACTAATTAAAAGGTTCCCACACAAATCTCAAGGTCACTCTTTGAAGCTGCTAGGTTCAAAGAACCACATGAGTGGGCTGTAGGGAATCAGAATAGATCAATTATGCTTCCAGCATCAAAGATATCCGTGTTCCTTTACCTACCTACATAGTATGCCTACCCACAATCAATTTAGTTTTAATCTGTCCATAAAAGCCCTGACGATTGATACACAGATTCAAGCTCAATGGTTAAGTTAAATTTATTCATGTAACCATGTAATGTAGGTGTGGTGGCCGGTGGGGAGATGATAGAGAAACATACCAATTTCTCAGAAGACTTAGCTAGCAACCACTTCGATAACTTCTTGTGGGTTGATTTCTTGATATCCAGTGTGATACCAGAAGGTCTGCAAGGCAAAACATGGTTTGACCTACATGGATAAAAATAACAGTGAAAGGTGTCAACTGTCGCATAGTAAAGTTTCATCTACCCAGGAAATTTATCACGAAGGCCACAACATGTTCTAATGGCTAATGGGAAGAAGAGTCAAGCATCATATTGACCTAGCAACAGTCGGGCCGTAATCGAGTAGACACAAGTAATCCAAACTACTAAGAACGACAGCAACAATATCACAGAACTCATGCTCATGCAAACATTAAGTTCTTCGGTATAAAATATCTACCCAAACCTCATTAGCCCCCCACCCCACCCAAGCACACACACACAAAGAAAAAATTGAACCACGCCATTCTATTAGCAAAGATGACACAAGCTGTGGAACCCGCTCTGAGAAGCAAATAACTAATGAAGGCTATATGATAGTAAATAATACATTACCATCTGAATTCTGAAGAAATAAAACCCCAAGAGAATCATCACTTAGTTTCTCATTTACCACTACCATATCTAAGCAAGGACATTATGATGAGGTTCAGAAGAAGCTAATGAGCACAATGGACAGAGTGCGTGCTTATGGTCCAAGGCTGGACATGTTGGAGCCCATAGACGATCAAGATGTTCAACTTCAGTTAATCAATTTCTTCTGCTTTTACTAGGGTAAAACAATTAATCAATTTCAAGAACACCTCAGATATTACCATAAAGTGCTTCCAGGCATTGGTAGATCCTTGTCTTTAACAGTCGTATGGAGCGCTTGCAGAAGACACTTGTCCAACAAATTATCCACTTCCTCAGCGGATAAGGTATGTTGTTGTTCCTCGGCAGCTGATCCATCACCACCATTATCTGAAACAATTAAGTTACTGACATCTACATTTAGTTGTTCGACTTGACTGTTGGAAGCTTCAGTCGATGATGAAGGATTTGGATCCAGCGTGGCATTTCCTTCAGCCAATTCCCCAACATTGTCAGTTCTATTGCCATCCTTTTCATCAATAGCAGGATGATTATCAAGACCTTCAGTTGAATCAGAATCTTGGGGCACTACCGAGGCAGCTGGATCCTCAACCACAATATCATCCAAGAAACCTGCATTGGGCACAAAATGGCCGTCCACGGACTCCCTGCAGGCAGTTCCACATTTCATGTCAGACAGAATTTCCCAGATAAATCTCTGAAAGAGCTTGCAGCATAATTACCAAAGTGAGTCCCTATAATAGTGTGTTATTCTTAAAGCCTTCCCTCGCAAACCAGCTTTCATTGCTTCAGCACTGCTCATAGTAGTTGACCCAACCTGGACAAGTTAAAAGTTATGTTTTTTCATGGTACTAACAACAAGAGTAGTCATTCTCCATAGAAAATATCATAAACAACAAGTTGAAAGCAACCTAACCAAATGGAAACAAAAAAAAGCTTACAGCAATAGGTGCAGGATTCCCAGGAACTTTCACAGACCATACTTCACCAACTCTAAAAGAAGGTAGGCCTTCAGCAGGTACACTAATGCCAGGGAACATTAAATCAGCCCCTCCAAGCATGTATCGAGAAACCTCACCTCCCTTCAACAGAAAAGAAGGCAAGAGTTCAGGTACTCTCCAGAGTGCAAAAACTGCATGAAGACACAAGTGAAAATCAATCTCCCTACCATAAACAAGTGAACCAAAATGAGTTATGCACTTTGGAGAGTTCATAGAACCCCCAACCCTTTGAAAGGGGGATAACAGGGCAAAAATATACTTGTGATAGACTTTTTTACTGGTTCTTCTCTTTTCACTTGATACTGTCATAGCTTGTAGGCAAACGGATATCTAAACATATCGAACCCTGAAGAGATCCTTCCCCACAATTACCTTCAAATCCCACTCTTTTATCACTAACGTCTAACGCACATATCCCCTACAATACTAGAGCCAACAAATGCAAGACAACTTCCAGCTTACAAACTGGTTGATCCAGCATTTCCCTACCAACTAAAACTACAGGCTCAGAGTTATCCACATTTCCGGTTCATAGTAGGGAAATGGTGGCTAACAAAGATAAAAGGTAGAAGCACCAACCTGTAGGATAGAGCTCAGTACCCCTGCCATCGATGTCGAAAAACATAGGGAAATCACCTTCGACACTATAAACCAGGACCCGATTTTGAAACTTCGCAACTGCTATCTCTACCTGAAACGCAAGTCTCATCAAAGAAACCATCAATTACTTAAGCACACTTTCATTACGATCAGACAATCATGAGAATAACCAACGATTCTTCGTACAAAAAAGGGGGAAGGGACCAGGTGAAAGAGAGCTCACCTTGGGAGGGAATAAGACGTCCATATCGGCATCAGAAGCCCGCGGGAACTTGTCTCTGAGGGTTCGTTTGAGCTTCTTCCGGTCAGCGCCGGATAGCCTCTGATGCGATTTCGCTTCCACTGCTTTCTTAAACATTGTCCTCTTGCTACTAGCTGAAAACTGGATTGACCGTTGATAGGTCGGAGAGGAGTACGAGTTTTGTTTATGAAGAGAATCGGAAGGAAGAATCTGGAGCGGCCGGGAACGTTTGGCGGTGGCGGTCGCTTAGCGTAATAATAATAAAAAAATCTCCTGTAATTCTCATCTTTATTTTATAATTTTTTTATGGGACTCATGTGGCCTCAGGCCCAATTCGACAATCTGCCTCTAACATTGGCCAGGAGAAACAAAGGAGGGGCCTCGGCCCAGAGATAACAAGAGTTCCAAAGTGGAGCCCAGTGAACATGCGCCATCTTCTTGTTATTTTCGCCAGAGGCAAAAGCGACATCGTCCTGGCTACCCTAATAATCTTTATTTTTTCAAGGGGTATGCGAGAAGGGAAACCACAAGATAAGACAAAATAGTAAAATACACAAGACTTCGAATTACAAAGAAAAATTAAGAAAGAGTCATTGATGGACTATCAACGATCCAATACTGAGAGGTTTTTTTTTCTTTTTTCAACAAGATGGACATCTCTATAATACTAACATTGTGCGAAGTGAAACGAGGCAACCTGCAAAATAGTCAAAACTAACGCGAACCCGCCCAAGACTCAGGCGGATCGCAAGGCTAAGAAACGCGAATCTGTCAGCGGATCCGCTAGGTCATTATCTGCTTTTCTCGTCTTCAACCTCCCACCAACCTCCAAACGACGACCCAAACCAGAAAAATCATTTCCCTTGTCTCATGTGGATCCGTAGAATTCAATACCGATTTCTCCCTTATTTCACGCGAATCTGTCACATTCAGCCCTGATTCCTCCCTTTTCTCAAACGATTTCGTAGCAGCTTCCTCCTCCCTTATATTTCCCTAGCGTGGACCCGCCCAACCCAGCAGATCTGATGGCCGATGGTGGAAAGGAAGGCAGAAGAAGAAGGTTGGTGGAAGAGGTCGGCAAACAAGCGTCGCCGCCGGCAGTGGTAGCGACTGGTACTGAGGTAAGAAACTCGGCGGCGACGGCCGGAATCTCACCGGCGGTGAGTTTTTTTTTAATATTTTTCAGTTCCTAGGATTACAGACACTTATTCCACGAGGTGACCACCTACGACAATTGATCCAGCTCCAGTCGATTTGGTACTTCTTTGGGCACATGGTCAACATCGTGCCAACTTAGTTTGGCAAAACGAGGTAAGTATTTCATAAAGTTCATTAGCTAGTTAGGTTAGATGTTTAGATTTTTACTAGTTGAACTGAAATTAGAATTACGTATGAAATTATTTGAAATTAGTATAAGTTTAGATTAGATAGATGTTTAATTAGATAGATTTTACTAGGTGAATTGAAATTAGAATTACACATGAAATTGAATTAATATAATTTCTGTGCACTATAGGCTGGTGATCGAGTTTACGAGATTCGAGGTACGACCCATATAGTCACGTACCATGCACATTATTAGACGTACCTCATGGAAGGTGGCTTGTCTAGTGTTCAACAGTTGGTCCCTATGACTGTTGATCCATGTTTGATCACTGCGCTCGTAGACCATTGGCGACCCGAGACATCAACCTTTCACTTGTCGTTAGGTGAGGTTACGATCACTCTAAAGGACGGTGCGACACTGACCGGTCTACCGATCGACGGTGATCCCTTCATAGTAATATACCAGATGATGAGTGGTTGGGGATGTGTACGAGATTGTTAGGATGAATTTTCCATTTAAATGAGTTGACCACAATTAATGAAGGGAAAAAGAATGAGGGGTACGCTAGTCATTAATAAAAATTGGGGGGAAAGGGAGGGGGGACCAGTCGTCCTTTTTGCATTAAATGTGGGGAAGAGAGGGGGACCACGTAAGTAGGCCAAAAACTCCACAAAATAGGTCAAAATCACAAAGTATGCCAGAACCTCCAAGTAGGTTGTATGCCAGAAGTTTTACAAAGCAGGCCAGAAGTTTCTTAGAAGTAGACCTATTTGTAAATTTTGAAAAGTTTAAGTACCAAAATGTAAGAAATAAAAATTTATTGTACTGAAATGTAATTTGCCATCGATTTTTTAGGATGAAAATGTAAAAAAATTAATTGTAGGTACTAAATATTAATATCGATTAAGTACATATACCAAAACTGTAATTTGTAAATGAAACCTAAAAAGCAACGTGAATGGAAGGGGAGGAGAAAGAGAAGGAAAAAGGAGAAGGGATAGTTACTATAATACCCTTATGGTGCTAACACTTAAGTGGAATATAAACTGGTTGATGTATGTTGTTAGAGTTGTTGATTCCTCGTAGATCATAGTTGAGTGTAGAGGAAGTATGTCGAGTGGGTGTAGGTATGGGAGAAATATTTCTACATGATTGGATTCTAAGAAAAGTGTTGATGCGTTGTCGAGCATCTTCTATCATTTCAGGGTCTATATAAGAAACGCTAGAGATGGAGTTCCTAGCAAAAGAGATGTTAACAATATCGTCAAGGTGTTGAGTAATTTGATTAACTTGGCGATGGTCGATACTTCTGCGATTGGCGATGGTCAAACACCGAATAATATAAATAAGGTAAATCATGAATAAGACAAAGATACATGACACTTAAAATGATAATTTCTCAAGATTAGTATTCCAATTCAACACAAATGTAATACAACTAACTTGCATCAAAACTTATAGAGAAGTTACTCGTAATAATAAAGTCGTTATACGAAGATTATTACTTACAAGTACTTGGAGAATATAAATTATTATGGGTTATCATATCTTTTGTATGGTATCCTAGTATTTTATTCATTGTAGATCAATCTTAACATTTTATTCATCATATGTTTTGGACTACAAAAGGAAGGATTTGCCAATGCTTGTGAAGAGCTAGGGGTGGGCAACGGGAACCGGGTATTTGGGTATACCCGTACCTTTTTTGAGGATTACATGTACCCAAATACCTATAATTTTTTTTACGGGTTGAGACTTGGGATCAAAAATCGCTACTTTGAGTACTCGCAGGTTTACCCGTCAATACCCGTTTGGGTATTACGTGTACCCGTTTACCCATTAGTCCAAAAGCCCAAAACGCAAGCCCACTCCAACACCCCAGCCCGCCTCCTGATGTCCCATTCGATTTCCCAAATGGCCAAACCCCCTTATAACCAAACCCAAAAACTTTAATGCACTGAGAAATGACTAGTTAACCACCATAAAACTACTCAGAAATCACCTAACTAAGCTAATTGTTGGCGGGACAGAAATCATCAGTCGCTGTGGATAGGTTGTTGAGGCTGAAAAATTTAAGGTCCTGGTGGTGAGTTCTCCTTCAACTACTGCTAATGGAAATCAACAAAGATGTACCTATTGGACGGGTATTTACGAGTAGTATCGGTACTCGTTATCCGTTTTCATACGGGTAAAGGGTACCCGTTAACCCGTATAGGTTTGGGATATGAGATGGAGATTGATTTTCAAATGGGACTTGCTACCTGTTTCAAACGGGACAAATACCCGTCCTGTCTCATTGCCCACCCTACGAAGAACATGGGCAATGAGGATGAATGGAAGAGTTTGTCTCTAGGGCCACAAACTATGTTTCTCATCTCCTTACCCATTTACCTACGGGATTAGAATATTTTGTGGATAGTAATCAGGGACTGGACTTTTTCCAAAAATACCACAAAAAAGAAAAGAAAAAATCCAAAAATACCACCAATTTACGAAAATTTTCAAAAAATACCACAATTTCTCGAAAACCGCCTGTTGGGGGCGCAATTTTTGATGTAAACCGCATGGGTGGGGGCGGTTTTGGTGACTGCATGGGTTCAGGGCGTTTGGTCCAAAATTGCTGTAAGATCTCGAAAAGTTATGCGGAATAAAAAATTTTCGCTACGATCGGATACTCGAGCACAAAGATACATTTGTTTGAAGTTTTCTCCTAAGGCTAGGATTGATCGGAATTTTTTTTTTACCAAACCGCTGCCCCACCCAGCGATTTTGGACCAAACCGCCCGATCCCATGCGGTCACCAAAACCGGCACACCCATGCGGTTTACATCGAAAACCGCGCCTCCACCATACGATTTTCGAGAAATGATGGTATTTTGGAAAATTTCGGAAATAGTTGGTATTTATGAAATTTTTTTTAGTTGTATTTCTCCAGAAATCAGATCATATTAATTTTTGTTTTATATCAAAGTTCAATTCACGGTAGATGATTTAAATTATAAAATGCTAAATTATTCTAACTTTTATGATGGAAACTAGAAAAGTTAGGCTAGTCTCGGGCCGGTAAAAGAAAAAGAACTCCACCAAGTCCCCACACGGCCACACATAAGCAAATGGTGATGCTAGATAATGTTGACCATTGTACCCAAAATAAAAAACAAGAATTAAGGAGTCATTTACTGTTGGATTTGGGTTATGGATTTGGTACTCAAATCTCAAATTTGATGGATTTAACATAAGTCCATTGTTTGTTGAAGGTTGTTAAATCCGTAGACCCCACAGACTTGTAAATCCCACATATTGATTTGGGATTTGCAAATCCTTGATGGTTAGTTATTTATTTAACAAATCTATCACAAATCCATAATCAAATCTATCATGCAAACCAATGCAGTCAAAAGCGCGATTCTACCTAGAAGCGGAAAAGGGGTAAAAGCGTAAAACGTCGAATCAAAGCGTAAAAGCGTAAGTTTTTGACGCATACTGAAAAATAACTAAAAATATATTAAGTAGGACATATGCTATGCAAAATATGAATGCACAGAATTTAGATAAGTTAATAAATACATGTGATTCATGTTTTAAGTAGAGCAACTTATATCATCTTAATAATAAGTTCGTAAACATAAATTTTAACGATAAGCCACTTTTCCCTCTATGCTAATGAATTTGGGAAAACCCTAGCTGGTGAATTAGATTACTCTATTGAAGTAGAATGCATCCAAGTACCTATATGTATCTTTTAATCTCAAATGTATCATATTGTTAGTGATTTACTTTAAAAATATACTTTTTATAATTAATTTCATGAAAAGAATACTCATTTAGTGAACTAAAAGCGTAAAAACGTAAAGCGTTTTGGTGAACTAGAACCGTAAAACCGTAAGTTTTTAAGCTTTAAAGCGCAATTTAGTACGATTTTATACATTTAAGTTTTTATATGGAAACGAAAGCGTTTTGATGACCCAAAAGCGTAAAATCGTAAGTTTTAAAGTTTTAAAGCGCGATTTTGACTGCATTGATGCAAACAATATACTCTTCAAATTCATAATCCAATAAATCCAACATAAATCCCAAGGTTTTTGTTGGCCAAAACCCTCATTTTTCAAATCCAACAAGCAAACGACCCCTAGGTTTTATAATTGTCAGCACATAATATTGTTAACTATGTTGACCGCTTGAAGACTTCGTATTCTTTCGGTTCTATTCATTCTTTATATTCGGAAGTGGATAGCGTGCTAACACCCTTAAGCACCATACTAATCTATCTATCTATACTATATCCATAATTTGCCAAGTTTGACAACTTTTTTACAAACAAAAAATTAGTTATTAATATATCTATGGAGCTACCTCTCTCTTCTTTAATATTTCCATTTCTTTTATTCAATTATTCTTTTTCATTTATCCATTCATTCTTTTTTGTCTTTGATAATAAGTTACATGTTGATAAACTTAATCAAACACACATAAATAATAATTTTTTGTTGAATAAATAAAATATAATTAAGAAAAACAAAGGGTGGCATATATCACATTTGTTTAAATAAAAAATATCTGATTAAACCTTATGAAATAAATTTTCTACTCATTTTTACTAAAATTGAATGATAAGTTACATTTTGATAAAAAAATTAAACAAACATACACATAAAAAATTATGTTTTAATCGATTAAACCAAAATATTTATGAAAAGAGAGAAAATAAATATTTGACATTCAATTATCTTTGAAAAATAAACTATATTACTTTACATTTTGTTGCAATTAAACACTTTCTTATTCGTACCATATATATCTATAAAATAAAACAAGTATTATTTAGCAAAATGTCAGAGTATAATCTTGATCGAGTAGTTAGAGTTATTTATTTAAAAAAACTTCTTATTCATTCAGATCATGTTCTACCTTAAATTCCTCAAATGAAAAGGAATCGCATGTGCAATAATTTGATAATGTGTCCTAAGTTCACATTAATAATATTTGATCTATATCATGTTGATTGAGCAAGCTCTATTAAGGTTCTAAGTCGTATGCTAAGAAATTTTCTTTCAAACATTGAGTTATCGTCGACGGTTATAAATCAAAAATTTCAAAATGACTTAAGTATGATTGTTGACGAACTTTGAATTCATACCCTAGGATGACACACAAGATTCCTTGAAAAAAAACAGATGTGAAGGTTAGAAAAATCTTTGTTGAGAATCTACGATAAACATCACGTTTCATCAACTACTAACCTAGGCATTTACCAAATAAAGGTTGGCAATTTTTAGTAAGATTGTCAATTGGGATAAACATATGAATCTAGCAATCAAGTATCCTTTATCCAATAATCTCAACTCTCAAAATTGGTTGTCAGTTCGTCCAAACTCGAGAAACACGAATTGATACATGTTGTATAAGATAATAAGTTAATGAAAATAATCAAATGAAATCCACTAGTATTGTTCAAATGATAAGACATTTTAAATGTACTTGAAATATGTGTGTATTGGAAA